CTTTCTTCTTTACCTTTGTTCCCCCCCCCCCCCCCTCTTGTTGTTTCATTCTTCCCATTCAAAGCAAAAACAAATAATAATAAACAACTAGAAAAGACTTAAAAAGGTAACAGAGAGATACAACTTTTTAAAAATGAGCTATTTCGTATCCCTTCGTGAAAAATAAAAATGAAATCCTTGCAGATCTATGCAATTTTTAATTAGAAAAATAAAAAGATTTTCGTGTACTATCGCACCTATCTTTTAGAAGAGTTAGCTTTCTTTTACGATTTGTGTAGTTGCAATTCTTTTGAGTACCCCTTTAAAAATACTAAGCCAATGAATTAAAACTTAAAAACAGTAAAGCTTCGACTTCACAGTCTCTCAAACTATTGAGATTTAATCACAAGAATGAGAGGGGAAAAAAGAGAGAAAATATTTGTAACCAAATGTTCTTGAAAAAGAAAAGAAAAAGGGGTAGAAAAAACCAAAGGAAAAGAAATAAAGGGACGATCAAACGGATTATATATATATATATATATATATATATATATATATATATATATATATATATATTAAAGCAAGAAAGTTTGCCTTCTCATTTAGCCAAGTGGCAAGCTAATATAAAGCCACTTGGCAATTTAGGACAATATTTGTTATAGTATTTTATTTAAATTGATAGATAGGATATTTCTTTATTCTAACCATATGAGACTTCAGAATTTATCTAGGAACAAGAGAATGGGTTATTTGGTGTAGAGACAACATTAATAAGGACTATGAAGCTTTTTTCTCACCAAGTGTTTGATAAGATACTTAAGTGACCAAAACATGAGAATCATAGCTAATATGGAATCCATTTGACTTGTATTGCTATATATTAAAGTTGAAAGGGTTGACAAACGTTGTACTACGCTTAAGAGCGGGAAGTTAAGGTATGTGAGGCTAACTCTCTATGTTTGAGAATGTTAATAATTCTCCCTACATTATGTTCCTTTTCCCACGTTTCTAATTGCCTCAGAAATATAGTTTAGCCTAATTCCTTGAATAGTTGTAGAACTTCTATTCTCTAGCTTCATAACTCGTTCATGACTTTCATTCTGAACG